TGTCTGTCTAAGGTATAATCTAGAAATTCGAAAGCGGAGAAGAGGATATATATAGAGAAGAAATGGAATGTCGCGTTACTCATTAATTTATCTTTTTTGCCACTTCTTCCTTCGGAAAGAATCTACCGCAAATACAATCGCGTTAACGGACGGAATGTAAAACCGTCGCTAAATATCCGAACGTTTTAATCGCCCTCACGTTATACGATCACATTTTACGATTCGGCAGCTGACGTGCTTACCGGCTTCTGTCGCGGGGATTATGCAAGCGCGACTATTCGAGCAGCCGAGCAAAGTACGTCGTTATGCACGTGCACCTAATATTAGATTTTAGATTCTCTCTCCTTCTCCTTCTGCTTCTCCGATCCGCGTTCGCTACTCATTATAACTATATACCTGTATACGGCGCAACCATATGGAATTGGCAATTGGCTCATTCCGTTGCAGACGGCAAACGGCGCTTATTGCATCCTATATCGCCCCGGACACGTCTTGTTCAGCCTCGAGCCCCGAACGAGATACTTTACCGCTGATAATCCGCGGCTGGTCCACGGCGGGGACGCGTACGCCGAAGTGCGCACCGTTTACATTCCCGCCGTGATCGCAAATGCGTTTTATGCGCCGGCTAATATCGCCGGGTTGATCGCGTGGGCTAGATAGACGGCGATGTGCTGTATAAGTACACGTACTTGTGTACACCTGCGTACGTGTGTATATACCAGTTCCCACTTCGCGGCAGGGATGTATAGCCACCGCGTTTATGGTGAGAGCTAGTCTTCGCTCCGCGAAAGCTGGCAAGGAGCTACCGTCTCTCTCTCTCTCTCTCTCTCTCTCTCTCTCTCTCTCTCTCTCTCTCTCTCTCTCTCTCTCCTTTCCTCGCCACATAGAGAATTCCGTGCAGAAACGATCAAAGAATCGTGCGAACACGTGCCGTGATGAGAGGAATCCTGCAATTGATGTTCGAGACATTTTCAAGCAAAGTTCGAAACATGTCCCACACAACGCAGTTTCTCCGAATGATGTTCTCAGAACGTCCGTAGAATATCCCAGGAGATCCTCTGGACATTTCTTCAGAGAAATGTGTTGTGTGAGATACTGGATTAATGATTAAATCGGATTGACAAACTCCGGCACCGTTATGCTAAAAGGGTTTTACTCATGACGCTATTTACATAATGTGGCCGTAAGATGGTACTTGACGTTGACGAAAGCGGACGTAGGAGCGGCTTCACGCGAGCTTCGCATACGCGGGCTCGCGCGCGTTTCGGCTACGTCACTGTCCACCCGTGGGTTCCAGAGCCAGCTTCGCCACGGATTGACCTCGGGACGGATGAAGGGACAACCGAGTGTCCTGAGAGACGATTATGGTACACCACTTCGACGTTACACCTTGCACGCGTTCGTATAAACGTGGCGTCGCTCTCACGTTGCACAAACTGTTGATATCAGCGGGCGTTGAGTTACGATTCGCAGAGCTGGTTTATCAGTTGGTCCCATGCCAACGTTGTCGCACTTTCGGCCGAACACACACGTTCGATCTGGACATCAAGAAGGATTTGCACGGCTTGCTCGAAAATGCGAGCTCTGTTCGCGTCGAGATATTTTCGTGTACGTTACTGAGTCTGGACAGGATCATATACGACCACGAATGATCTATTCGTATTCGCGTCTAAATAATGAAATGTATCGTTAATGTAAATTGTTAATGTAATTATTCCGGCTGCAGATGTAGACTATTTGTGATCATCTTTTTACATGCTTCAAGTCTCGAGAGCTAGTATACGACAGATGTAGTTGTCTTTCATAGTTGAGGAGCAGACGCGTCAAAATGCGTTTTATCTAAATTTTCACTTTTTTAATTAGAGATGTCGGAGTGTTTAAATGTTGAAAGATTCATGTTATAAGCTATTCTGAGATATTCAGAAAGCATTTTTCCATCGTTAATTTATATGCTGGAAAAACATAGACATTTCGAAGTGCATTATGTTTTTTAACTACACGGAGAGAATTTTTTCTTAGAGTTTAAAATGAAAATATAGTAATCGTTGGACAACATTGTATTTCGAGCAATTTTTAATGTAAATCTTTCTCATTCATTAATAAAATTACAATAAAGTATGAAATAAGTTTGATTAATTTTACCGAAGTGCGCGGTAAAAATCTTTAAAATATTGTACCGCAACTACTATAGGATTATATATTTCAGGATAAATTAAAAAATAATAATTCTGTCCGTGTAGAGACAAACAAAATGCATTTATTTTGTTAAACATTTTTGGCAATTGTTTAGCAATTTTGTTTAATATTTCACATCCTACTGATTGATATATTATTATATTTTTTGTAACGTGCGTAGGTTTCTCGTATGTGCGTAATTTCTTTCTTTCTCGTTTTCTGAAAATTACAATGTTTGGGCAAAACGTATTTTGAAAGTTTGCTACCCAGTTACTCTGCGAACGATCGAGGAGAGAATTGTAATCACATTTTATGTTCTATCAAATCATCGAATTCTTAACAGGTATCACTATGTGAATCTTAATTTTGCTAGCCTCTGAAACATGCGACACGCTGTTCCTCGCTTTTCCAGGCTTCACTCTTAAAGCTCGGCGTTTAATTGAGACTCGATTTTTCCGCTAACGACCGCATGATGCATCGATCTGACCTTGATTTCACCGTTCCGCGGTCACCGCACCTTTTTCGTTCGGATAGGCACGATTCACGGCCGACTGTGCCGGCGGTCTTCCTAATGAAGCGATTAATACGGTGCCTCGCTGTGCAAATACTTGTAATACGAAATTGATGATTTCCTTCGATGCTTGCAGGGGGTGAAGGAGAAGAATGACGATGCGCGGCAATGGTCCACTCGTGATCTTGCGATCGCTGATGGTCGCCGCCGCCGCTACGACGGTACCAGGGACTTGGATGTAAGTATCTTTCAATATCAGTATACCTTTCGCGCGATGTGATGATTTTTTTCCTTTCTTGTTTTTCCAATCAGGCGATCGAAGGTATCAATTAGTTTCATGCGCGTATTTATAGTTAGACGGGATGAGATTTTTTTTTTCATTAGGCTCGCGCGACTCTTAAAATAAGCTGATGTCGAAGGACAAGGGGTGCCCTACATATCGCCGATCGAAGGATGAACTAGCACTAGTGGGGTGCCGTTCTTACAGTGGAAGCTTCATTATCTCTGAACGTCGTTTCATTGAATTTTCGATGATCCGGTTGCCGTGATTTCCGATATTGGCTCAGATAATTTAAATTCTAGTGTACATGGACATGAAGTATCGAGAGGCGTGCGAATGAATAAATTTATTTAAGGCAAATTAAGTCACTGAATTGCTAAACGAGCAGTTCGTCTTAAATGATTTATCCTTCTTTACATTCTTCGTTAAAGAGGAGATCGCGAAAGTTATTTTATTCACATTGATGGTCGTACTACTGTCTTGAATCGTTGAATTATTCACGGAAACTGTGAAAAAATATCTAAAAAGTTAGATACAGATCCAAAAATAATTTTGTTGGACTATCAAAATAATTATGTAGACTTAAACGTTGATGATACTGATACAAAAAGTTTTAACATTTTATCAGTTTGATGCCCTACATAATTATTTTCATAATTCAAACAAAATTATTTTCAGATCCGTGTGTTGTCCAACTAAATTTTTATATACTTCAGCAAAATAATTCTTTCCGTATAAGATGTATTTTTTTTTTACTGCATTCCAAATTTACGTTACGTACACTATAGACATTCAGCGATGACAATGGATTTTTAAATACAGCCTTTGAAGTTTTAACCTACTGCATACTTTTATACTTAAAGTGAAATTAAAATGAAATAAATATGTATGTATTTCAAATTTAGCAAAAACAAGAAATAAAATTTTAGTGCAATAATCCTTCAAGGTAAGCGACAAAGAAGAAACCTTATATTTCCCCATCACGAAAATATAATCGACTCGCGATTTCTCTTCGTCGAAAACGTTAATTGCACGGACGACGATCGTCCGAAACGATAAATAGACATGTCGCGAAGAAACGAATCGACACGATTCTTCATACGATTCCAGATTTATAGGTCTTTGTGCTCACGGCGCATCGTGGGAATCCGAGCGAGGTATCTCTTGTGCCCCCGAAAACCTCTCTCTTTCGTGGACGAATGAAAGCTATACGTCCCCACGTCGCTCGTGTACTCCGCCCTGTTTGCCAGGAGTGTGTCTAATCTCTGAATTGCCATTCCGGCCCCTGTGTTCTATCCCGCGTGAGCATGACCAATCATCGAATGGTCCCGGACGCCCGCGCTCCTTTGTGTGCCGTCCGGATCGCCCCCGGACCTCCTTCGCGCCGAATTTACCTCTCGTACCCTATATCTCTTGCAAGGAAATCCTCGCTTAACCGTCTGCTTTTTTTTTTTCAGAGTGCGCTTGTAAGCCTCCCCTGAGGTTGCTGATCCCCTTAACTCTCGAACACGCTCTTGTTCGGCTAATCTGTAACGAAGGAGCAAAAGTCAGAAATCATCGCATTT